TGCATTTCCACCTTCCTACTTCATCATTTCACCACATTCTCCCTCTTTAACTCATTTCATTATTCATTCACTTTGCATTCATTCAATTCCACCCCACATGCACCCTTTATTCTTCATCATTGCAACCATGGCACATTTACACCAACAAAACAACTCCCATGCCATGGCCTACTCATATTCCCATTTCCTTTCCAACATCTCACATGCATTTCCACCTTCCTACTTCATCATTTCACCACATTTTCCCTTTTATTTCCACATGCAATTCTTCATCATTGCAACCACAAACACCTTAAACAAATAGCCATATACATCTCCACTCCTCCTATAAATACCCTTGCATTCCCATTCATTCAAATCATCTCATTCACAACACAACACACCACAAACACTTCCCTATCCGTGAGTTTCTCTCCCTTAGAATCCAAAAACCATCTTCCATTTCCACCAATCCTCATCCATTTCCATAATTCCCCAACACTTCCATCCCCCCAACCAACCTATCCTTAAACCTTGTGCTACAACAACGAGGAAGAGAAGAGTGCCTAAACGTTCATACAATTCAAGTTTTGAGTTGTTGGAATGTTTAGGTGTTTCTTTGATTTCAAAGTTTCATTTTAATTCTCTTTGTTTTGTACGTATGAGAAATGGAAGAAAAGAGTGCTTAAACGTTCATACAATTCAAGTTTTGAGTTGTTGGAATGTTTAGGTGTTTCTTTGATTTCAAAGTTATGAGGAACTAAACCCCCTTTAGCTAGGGGGTGATTCGAAACTATGTTTATATTTGCAATATGAATTGATTAACTTTCGTTGGAATTTCATAAGTTTTGGATTCAATTTATTTAAACCGTTTGAGTGATAACTTATTTATGAATGTTTATTAAGAATGCACGCTTAATTTTCATGCATAAATATGACGCTAGAATATAAGTGAATTTCACCTAATCGTTATGAACTTATATTCACAAGTAGTGGAGGTTGCTTATAAACAATCGTGTTAAATGAATTCTTGGCACGAGTTTCATGCTCATCATAGTAACGAATGCCTCGTCAACACTTATAGTTTTCATAATGCTTAATGATCTTTGATTGTATCTTTATTGTGCTATTCACGTAAAGGACTTTTGGAGAATGTTGTGAATTGCGTTGCGCAAACCCATCCAATTCATTAACTTAAGGAAAACTTGACGGTTAATTTAAGCGGACCTAATTAATCCGGAGTGTTGAGTTTCATAATTTATCGAAAGACCAACTGAGAATCAATCTTGTATGCAAGTATAACATGTGTGAAGAAGAACCCCTTAGCTAGCCTTCATTCCATTCATTCCATCACAAATTCATATTTACATTCCGCTTAGTTTATTAACTTGTTTTGTTATTTCAATTTTCGTCAAATCAAAACTTTTCCCCCCCTTTACTTTCTTGTTCTTTAGTGCTTAGAATCTGTTTAGTTTATGTTTTAAAGTATTTTGAATCAAGCCATAATCTTAAATTCGTCCAAAATTAGTTTTGAGTCTTTTGGTTTGTCTTAATGTTTTAAATTTTAGTTTTGCATTCTTTGAGTCTAGTTTAGTGTTTTATATTGTTTTTACGTTTTTAAGTCAATTTAGAAGGTTTTAGCAAGCCCTCCTAATCCCCGGTCTAGAACGATCCCTCACTTATCCATTGTACTACAATTGTCAAACGAGGGTTTAATTTGAGTGTCAAACGAGGGCTGCATTTAGTTTTTAGGGTTAATCTCATTTTTGTACGCTTAAGTTTCTTCATTTTTAATATTTTATACATTAAGTATTTTTCGTTCCCATTTGGTATCTAAAGTCATAATTTTGAGAGACTATCATACATCTGTTTAGTTTTCCACCAAAAAATTCGGTTAACGGATGACGTGATACTCACATAGACACTAATTGAGCACCACAAATCAATATGAGAATATTAAAATAAAAAAAAAATCTCCTCCCCTTGTGAAATATCTATATACGAAAAAAAAATAAAATAAAATTTAAAAAAAAAAAAAAAAGAACTTTTCTCTCCCTTTTTGATCTCCACCATCGCCTGCCTCTCTTCTGCCCATACATTCATGCAGCCACCCACACTTTCATGATGAGACATACTGTGGAAAATATGGAAGAGAATGCTTTTTCTCATTATATTTCTCTACAAGATTACAAGGATATATATACATGAAAAAAGGGAAGACTTATGTCCAATCACCCTAAATTAAGGGATCCAAGTGTGTAGGTAGGACGGCTTATAGGACGGCTATAGGATAGGACGGCTTATAGGACGGCTATAGGACGGCTTATAGGACGGCTATAGGACGGCTTATACTTCCAATACTCCCCCTCAAGCTGGATCAAGGAGGTTAATTGATCCAAGCTTGGAGAGCAGACTTTGAAACTGAGGAGAAGCAAGAGACTTCGTGAAAATATCAGCAAGCTGATCTTAGCTTCGAGTGAATGTGGTTTGAATTACCTTGGACTGGACTTGTTCCCGAACGTAGTGACAGTCAACTTCAATGTGTTTGGTGCGTTCATGGAACACCGGATTGGAGGCAATATGCATAGCTGCTTGATTGTCACAGAAAAGAGACATAGGTGCGTTGATTGAGAACCCCAAGTCCGAGAGAAGGCCCTTGAGCCAAATGAGTTCACATGCAGTGGAAGCCATGGCTCTATACTCAGCTTCGGCACTTGAGCGAGCAATTACATTTTGTTTTTTGCTCTTCCATGTCACGAGGTTTCCTCCAACCAACGTGCAGTAGCCAGTAGTGGATTTTCTATCAATAGCATTCCCTGCCCAGTCAGCATCGGTGTAGGCAATGATTTGAGTATGACCATTGTTTTTCATGACGATTCCCCGACCAATGGAGCCTTTGAGGTATCTGAGAATTCTTTTAACAACATTTAAATGAGCTTCAGTGGGTGCATGCATGAATTGGCTTACAAGACTGACGGCGTAAGTTATATCCGGTCTGGTGATGGTGAGATATATAAGCTTACCCACCAATCGTTGGTAGTAACTGATATCACTGAGAGGTTCTCCTGTCAAGTCCAACTTCAATTTGCTATCAAGAGGAGTACGAGTTGGTTTGCAATCCATCATCTTCACTTCTTGAAGTAAGTCAATCACATATTTCCTTTGACTCAAAAAAAGTCCCTTGGGGGAAGTGGCCAGTTCAATCCCAAGGAAGTATTTTAAAACTCCTAAGTCTTTAATGGCAAATTGTTGATGAAGAGAATGTTTAAGAGTGTGAATCTCATCAATGTTATCACCTGTGATGATGATATCATCAACATAGATTAGTACAACTAATTTGCCAACTGATCCTATTCGAACAAACAGGGAGGAATCAGCATGACTTCTCTTGAACCCAAAATTTTCAAGTACCGAGCTCAGTTTGGCATACCAGGCACGAGGAGATTGTTTCAAGCCATAGATTGACTTATGAAGCTTGCAAGCCATACCTGAATTCTGTGCTTGTGGATGACCCGGGGGTAGTTGCATGTAGACTTCCTCTTCGAGGTCTCCATGTAAAAAAGCATTTTTTACATCCATTTGGTACAATGGCCATTCATGGTTCACTGCAACAGATAACAAAACCCTTATTGTGCTCATCTTAGCCACGGGAGCAAATGTCTCCTTATAGTCCACTCCAAAAGTTTGAGTAAAACCGCAAGCCACCAATCTTGCCTTGTGTCGTTCAATTGAGCCATCAGAATTAAACTTGATTTTATAGACCCACCGACTGCCTACCACCTTCTTGCCTTTGGGAAGTTGAACTACACTCCAGGTTTTATTTTCATTCAAGGCTTTGAGTTCTTCTTCCATGGCTAGCCTTCACACAACTTGACGATTGGCTTCTTGAAAGTTCCTTGGTTTACTTTCATAGGACAGTTTACTGAGGAAGGCTGCATGAGAGTGAGAGACTTTGGAGTAATTTACAAACTTGTGAATAGGGTACCTTGCATGGTAAGTTTCATAGTCTTGCAGCCTTAATGGTGGATGTCGATCTCGAGTCGGATTCCTGCGGGGTTAAGCTGGGATCACAATAGGTTCAGCTCCACTCTCTTGTATAGATGTTGTGTTATGGTCATAGGGGACTGCTTGTGCTTCTGAGGCTTCAGTGTCGTCTCCAATAAGCAGGTTGTCATTAAGGGTTGCATGAGAGTCCCGGTTGTGAGGTAGTGAATGGACACAGTCACTTGGTTCGACTGGATTTGGCAATGGGAAGAAATCTAGGAAGTGCTCCCCCTGACGATTTTGATCTGATGATTTGTTGAAATATGGTTGGTTTTCATCAAACCGTACATCTCTTGAGACAAACATCTTCCTGGAGCACGGATTGTAGCATTTTTACCCTTTTTGGGTGGAGGAGTATCCCATGAAAACACACTTGACAGCTTTGGGATCAAGCTTGTCTCGGTGATGAGATTGAATATGAACATAACAGGTACATCCAAAGATTCTCAGATGGGAAAGATTAATTTTTTTGTTTTGCATAACCTCAGATGGTGATTTTGTATCCAGAACACGACTAGGCAGTCTGTTGATAAGGTAGGTGGCTGCAAGAACTCCTTGAGACCAAAACCTCTTAGGCACATTCATTTGCAACATTAGCGCCCTGGTTTGTTCAAGTAGGTCCCTATTCTTCCTTTCGGCAATTCCATTTTGCTGAGGAGTACCTACACAACTTGTTTGATGTATAATTCCATGGGTGCTCAAATAATTAGTCATATTTTTGGATGTATATTCAGTGCCATTATCAGACCTTAGTATGTGGATTTGGGACGAAAAATGGTTCATGACAAGATTATGAAAGTCCTTGAAAGCATCCATAACTTCACTTTTGAATTTTAGGAGGTACAACAAAGTGGCTCTTGAGAAATCATCAACAAAGATAACGTAGTACCTATAACCATCAAAAGACTCTAGAGGTGCAGGTCCCCAAACATCGGAGTGCACCATCTCTAAAAACTTGCTAGTCCTAGACATGGAAGAATTGAATGGGAGTCTAGTAGATTTTGACAAATGACAAATTTCACATACAAGGGAGGATTTGCATAAACTAGGGAACAACGTAGACAACACAGATTCTGAGGGATGTGCTAGGCGTTGATGCCACAACCGATGTTCTAGGTTTGAGCTGACTTGGAATCCCTTTGGAACATTGAGGTCCTCTGAAAAATAGTACAGCCCATTTAGGTAGTGACCTTCACCAATCAGCTTCTTGGTGGCTAGATCCTGAAAAACAACATTGTGGGGGGAAAAAATTGCACGACAGTTTAGAGAGTTTGTAATCCTTCCTACGGACAATAATTGAAAAGGAAAAGATGGAAATATAACGCTGTGGACTCAACAGTTTCTGAGATCAGTTTAACTTTCCCTCTACCTAGAACTGGCACACCTCTACCATTTGGTACAGAAACTAGTGATGGTTTAGTGTAGCTTTCAAAATCGTATAGCTTTGAATATTGATTTGTCATGTGATCTGTGGCACCCGAGTCTATAATCCAAAAATCATGAGAGTGACTAACATTTAGAGCAGTTGAAAAAGCACACATGATACCTGGAATGTCTCCTTGAGGTACATGACCAGATTCAGCTAAGAACCCTGCAAACTGTCCAAGAAGAGCAGTTTGACTTTCTCCACTCGACGTTTCACCTGTGCTTCCTTTTCTGGTTTGAAGGTAGGTTGAGAACTCATTCAACAAGTTAGCCGGATTGGCTGTAAAGTTCATCGACCCACCGATGGATGTAGCAGCATCAGCATGGTACTTGTTTGTATGTGGTCTAGCGTGTGAGCCCTTATGATCTCTTAAAGGCTTGTTCTCAAACCTTGGCTTCAACTCTGGGTGCAATATCCAGCATCGATCTATTAGATGTCCAACATTATTACAATGTAGACACTTCAGATCTAGCCTTTTTCCCTTGTATACTTTATCTCCAAATGACTTGTGATTTGTCACAAAAGCTCTAGCCTCAGACACACTAGGTTTTACGTCAACATTCATGACTTTTCTGCGTACTTCTTCTCGCTGGATAGTAGTGCAAACACTTGCAAATGATGGAAGTTCGGGATTCCTTAGAATATGGCTTCTAAGATCTTCATATTCAGAACCCAAACTTGCAAGCAAATGAAAGATTTTGTCTTCCTCGGACCTTTCTAACAGTACGGCAGCATCGATAGTGTGTGGTCGATACATATCTAGTTCGTTCCACATGTTTTTCATGCAACCGAGATGATGAACAAAGGATTTATCACCTTGTTGAAGACTTGCGAGAACTAGAGGATTCTGAAAAACTGAAAATTTCAGACAGCTTAGGATCCATGGAGTTGAGGAGCCACGACATGACCAGCTGGTCTTTGCACAGCCATGCTTCATGCTCCGGCGATGCGACGTCAGGTGCTTCAATACTTCCATTGACGAATCCAAGTTTGGATCTTCCTCCAAGGGCAAGAGATATTGATCTGGACCATGGAAGATAGTTAAACTCATTTAACAACACAGAACACAAACGTTGGTTTGGGTTGACTTCAGCTTCTGGAAAACTAGGGCGAGGAGCTGTGAAGCTTTCAGCTTCTGAGCCAAAAAGATTATCTTCTGCCATTATCGAAACGAATGTGCAGAAGAAGAGAAGGGACAACAATGGAGTCAGGCCGGTTAAGGTTCCGGCTCTGATACCATGTGGAAAATATGGAAGAGAATGCTTTTTCTTATTATATTTCTCTACAAGATTACACGGATATATATACATGAAAAAAGGGAAGACTTATGTCCAATCACCCTAAATTAAGGGATCCAAGTGTGTAGGTAGGACGGCTTATATGACGGCTATAGGATAGGACGGCTTATAGGACGGCTATAGGACGGCTTATAGGACGGCTATAGGACGGCTTATAGGACGGCTATAGGACGGCTTATACTTCCAATACATACAGATACCCTATACATTCATGCAATTCTATACAAAAAGACAATAGAGAAAACAAGAGAGAGAAAGTAGATAGAGAGTACAGAAAATTAAATCCGAAATTGAAGTCACAAATACGGAAGGCAAAAAGGTTCTTGCCGAATTGGATTGAGGAAATTGCAGTCGCAGAGACCCAGAAATTGAACAAAGGGAGACGCTCGCACCAAGAACAAAACCCCCAAGGCTTATGTAAGTCCCAACGGAAGAATTGCAGGGGCCTATGGTCTGAGGCAAAATCTGACTCACTCCGAAATCGGAGATCTTGACCTGGTTCCTTGCGTTAATCAGAAGATTCGACGGTTTGATATCGCGCTGGATGATCATCTGGCAGTGGAGGTAGGCAAGGCCGCTGAGAATTTGCTTGGCCAAATCGGAGAGGGCCTTCTCGTTCCCGATGTTTAGCCCTCCAGGACCTGGATCTCGCCGTTGTGGATAACAGGACTAGACGATGGTGGTGCGTGGCTGCGGGTTGAGGACAGAGAAAAGAGATAAAAGGAGAGGCCAAGCGTTGGTGGAGATCAAAGAGGGAGAAAGAAGTTTTATTTTTATTTTTTATTTTTTATTATAATTAATTTTTTTTTTTTTAATTTTTTAAAATTTTTAATATCCAGGTGAACTCATATTGATACGTGGCTTCTAATCATTGTTTGTGTGGATACCACGTCATCAGTTAACGAAGGTTCTCACAGAGAGATATATGAAAGTGTCATAGAATTATGACTTGAAGTATCAGACTGAGACAAAAAAAACTTGACCTATGAAATGTTGAAAACCAAAAAACTTCAAAGTAGTAAATTGAGATTCATCCTAATTTTTCTACTTTCTACATTTTGTAATGTTATTCTATTTGAAAGTGTATGATAACTATTTTCTTTAGAGTTAATTAATATTAACAATTTCGTTTTGTTTTCCCTTTTGTTCCTTCAAAATTCCCTTCTTAAAAACGTAATAAGTTTTTACTCATTTAACATCACCAGTAACTACTTTGTACTCTTATAATAGTAGGGCGATAGCTCAAGGCAGGGAACCCAGGGCTCATAAAAAAACAAGCATTTTGATAGACGCTTCAATATCATTAGAAGATATGCTGCTGAGGGAAAAGTCAACATCCTCCATGTTGACTCAGTCGATAACATAGCATATCCACTAACGAAGCCAATGTCTCAAGTCCAACTTGACCACCATATGAAAAAGATGGGTATTAGATATATGGGAAGGTGCCTTTGAGTGCAATATAATAAGTTTTTACCCATAAAGCCACTCGTTTGATGTAATAGCTTTTGAAATACTCATTAGGTTAAACTCTTATTTGTTTAATGAATGGCAAAGCTTATTACTAATCATTGTTTATTGTATCATGTGTTTAAGTAGTACGAGAATCCAAGGAATAAATTCGATCTAAGAGAGAAGTGATCAAAGTAAGTTAGATTAATGAGACATTTCTATTATGTTCATTCCTAAAACGTTCCTATTTGTAAGATTGCCGATTGGGCATTGACAATCCGTTAAGGTTAATATGTGTTATGTTGACTCAAGCATGAGTGTGACTAGTCTCAAGTCATTTAGTGTTGGACACGAAGAGGTGCTCGAATGGGTAATTGAACACACTAAACAACAATGAAAAGAGAGTTCAAACATACATGTCATGTAAGAACTCATAAGTTGCAATATGCAAAGTAGCCCTTTGACCTAAGGCATCATAGTTGTCTAATGGTTAGGTCCTTGATCTTTGACTATGTCAAACGCATTCCATTGAGAGTGTCTACGGCATTGTTGGGGTTAACCTACCTAGTCATGTAGGCATGTGAATGCACACCAAGGGATCTCTAACCTGTCATGGTGGAAGGAGTTGATAGGAGCATATTTATGCGACTTAATTGGCTTGTTCTCATGCATTTACGTTGTGTTTCTTTAGTTATTTTAGTCCTTTATGCCATTTTCGTGTGTTTCTAGGTTCATATGGCTAAGGAAGCAAAAAGGTGCAATTTGGAGCATTTTGGAGCAAAATTGGGCTTAGAATGGATAGCTTATGCTTGGAGCCAAAGTGTTGGACGAAATTGAAGCCTTGTATGCACTTTAGGACATAAAACAAAGGGCCTAGCCCAATCAAACAAAGCCTTAGAACCAGAAATTCCCATACACACACCAACACATCCCTTGCCGTGTGTTGGGTTTGCATTTCCCTTTCATTTCAGCCACATGTATTCATCATTGCAGCCACATTCTTCCATTCCCACTTCAATCATTCACCCTAGTTGGCAGCCACATGCCTTCCCATTTCAATATCATTCTTCCAAATACAAACAGCCACATTCTCCCTTCATTGCCGTGCATAACATTCAACATTTCCAGCATTCCATTTCATTATTGCAGCCACCATTCATTCTTTAATTCACATGCATTCATCATCATTCACCCTAGCTATTTTTCACATGCATTCCCTTCATTAATTCAGCCAACACATGCACCCATCACCTAAAACACATCCATTGCCGTGCACCCCCCTTGCAATTCCAGCTTTCCACCAACCAACCTAGTTGTCATTCCACATGCATAACCTCCTTAATCATGCAGCCACATTCTCTCACATTCTCTCCCATTCTCTCCCTATAAAACCATGCAATCCCATCACACATCCACATTCAATGCCACACCTCCATTCACCACAGAAATTCACACACAACACACCACAACACAACAAGCAAAGCCGTGCACTTCCCCTTCCATTTCTGCACCATATCTCCTCCATTGCAGCCACTCCAACCACTCCCCATCCCTCCAAACCTATCCTTAGACCTTATGCCACAACAAAGAGGAGGAGAAGAGTGCCTAAACATTCATACAATTCAAGTTTGAGTTGTTGGAATTTTTAGGTGTTGCTTTTCCTCGATTTCAATGTTTAATTTCAATTCTCTTTGTCTTGTACGTATGAGGAACTAAACCCCCCTTGGCTAGGGGGGGATTCGAAATACATGTTTATGCTTGCAATATGATTTGATTACTTCTAATTGTGTTTCATAAGTTGTGAATTCAATTTACTTATCTACGTGAGTTACATTGATTTGTGTATGTTGGTTGAGAGTGCACGCTTAATTTTCATGCATAAATTGGATGCTAGGATATAAGGAAATTTCACCTAATCGTTATGGAATTATATTCACAAGTAGTAAAGGTTGATGATCTCAATCGCGTTAAGTAAATTCTTGGCATAAGTTTCATGCAATCATAGTAACAAGTGCTTCGTCAATGCTTATGGTTTTCATAGAACTTAACGATTCTTGCTTGTATCCCTATTATGCAATCATGTAGGGGACTTGTGGGGAATGTTTTGGGTTGTAGTATGCAATCATCCAATTCAATAACGTTAGGAAAATCTGAGGGTTAATTAGTGCAATTCACGGTTAATCTGGGGCAGAATTCATGGTTTATTGAAAAGCAATTAGAAATCGTTTTGTGTGCAAGTATAACATGTGTGGAGATGAACCTCTTAGCTAGCTTCCCATCCATTCAATTCCATCAAATTCGTATTTACAATTTGTTTTCTTTACAATCTGTTCATTTTAGTTTAATTTCGTCAAAACCTCAATCCCCCCATATTTTGTTTAGTCTTAGTCTTAATCTATCTTATTTTGAGTTTTGCATTCTTTGAGTCTAGTATAGTGTTTTAAATT